TGTCAGATAAAATGTATTCTAATAATGATACTCTTGTGAGGGGGTATAAAATTCAAATACCAGCAATGCTCAGTTTTTAGAAGTTGGATCTGACAAAACCAAAACTCATCAGCATTTTCATATTTACTTTTGCTATGTGTGTTGAGTGAACCCAATTATGTTTTTTTTAAAAGAAGAAAATAATAGTAAAATGTGAAAGAAACAGAAGAAGCTTCTAGTTTGCCAAACCAGTTACCACTATATATTTAAAATCCAGACGGATTTAAAATGTCTATGGCTAAACCTTTTAAATACTTTAAAAAAAATCTCTAACTTGCTGGCTGTAAACTCTTCCTTTTTCTTTTTACAGATTTAAAGATCCTTTATTTTAACTAGTGAATGTTCCTAGTCACATAGAGTTACATATTTTGCATCAGTTTGCAAAACATGTAACTATGTTATTTATTTTTATTAATTTAGTTTAGTTTGTCAAGCATGTATGAGAAAACAAGTATGAACATAACATATAAACATAGAAGTATAAACAGATAAAAGTCAATACATAATAAATGAGTACAAATAAATGGGAACAGTAGGACAGGGATGGTAGGCGCGCTGGTGTGCTGGTGTGCTGGTGTGCTTATGCACACCCTTACAGACTTCTTAGGAATGGAGTGAGGTCCACGGTAGACAGTTTAAGGTTAAAGTTTGGGGGTTTGAGAATGTAACAACAGAGTCAGGTCATGAGTTCCAGGTGTTGACCACTCTGTTGCTGAAGTCGTATTTTCTGCAATCGAGTTTGGAGCGGTTTACTTGTTTGCCCATGTGTTATTGTGGTTGAAGCTGAAGTAGTCATTGACAGGTAGGATGTTGTAGCAGACAATTTTGTGCACTAAGCTTATTTCTTTTGTTACATTTGGCTCAGTTTTCAGGACTCTAGGCTCTTGATTAGTTAGGCAACTATAATGGGTGGAAGTACACAAAGTGATGGTGCCTATGATACTATCTTTTCCCAGTGATATATTTCATTCATTCATTCATTCACAAGATTTACTGACCACACATCTTACCACAAAGTAACTCTGGGTGCTCACAGATATAAAAACTATACACATTAAAACATAAATACATTAAAACCAACCATTAAAATCTCTTTCCATTAACATCTTAAAATGAGGTTGTACCGTAAATCATTGCAATTGCACAGGAAGAGAGGAAATGACTCTTGTCGTCATTCTCTGATTTCTCTCTTGTCATTTTGGAATTCAGAAATGAATCGCTGGCCTCCTCTCTATCACCACACCTTGCAGCATTCAGTTGCAAGGAAATAACTGGGAAACCCCAATCTCCTGATTCCAGAGACAGCAGGAGAGAACCTTGGTTGCCTTTCCATAGATCAAAGGGGGAAGAATTTTACAAATTTCATAGCAGGCAATGAAGGCAGAAAATTAACTCAAAATAGAAGTTCACTTTGTTAGCTTTTCCATCGTAGTTTTTCAGATATTCCTCTTTATTTATAATGCGCATCTGAATATTGGTTTAGGTTTGGCAGTGGGTAAAGTAATGTGACTTGCTCTTGGCTTACCTTGAAGTAGCCTGGATTCTTGGTTTGTTTTTTTAAAATAACCAATTTGATTTGAAAGACAGTTTGATGAACAAGCAGCAGTGCTGAATGTTTCACTGACTGATTTTTACAGCATACACTGCTGTATGCCTGTCCAGATAGTTGGCAAACTAGTTTTCAGTGCAGGACAAACAAATGAACTAATTGATAAAATTCAGTTAAATTATACATTCACTACCTGGGTGGCTTATTTGTCTTTGACAATGATGTCATAAGATGTAGAATAGAGAGATTTATCTAACAGCTAATATTTTTTTTAGCAATTATGCTACCTACCCCAAACCGTCTACTCCATCTCCTCTGACTCCACCATTTTTTTTCTTTTTCTTTTTTTTATGCTTCTGGGTTACTTTTGCCAACTATATCCCTATCCTTTCTTTCCCACCTCCACAAGCTGTCTGAAATGAGTTCCTATTTCTTTAAAATTTTATTCTCAGCCTGACATACTTGGCAGCACATTCCTGGTTTGTTTAGTAGTTGCCCCAGTGATGATAGGACCCCTACATGCTTCTGCCTAACCTTTGGCCAGCATGCTGTGAAACAGATTGAGCTTTTCTCTTCAAGGCTCCCACTTGGCAGATTTAACCACTAAAACTTGGTTCTCAATTGCTGCAGCTGGCACAGGCCTGCAGTTACTTCCCGAATTGCTTTGGAACATTTGGGGAGGAGCCCTGTGTAGTACATACAGACAGAAACATGAATTAATTCAGTCTAAGGCATATTTATTTTTCTCCCTGATAAGTAGGTACAAATAAAACTAGAGAGGATTGACAATTTGCTTTTCTAAAAAATTAAAAGCAGATTCATATCAAATGGTAGAAAGACAAAATAATATCTCCCGTGTGTGTGTGTGCGCGCGTGTGCAGGTACATGTCTGCACATCCGCTCTTGAACCTTGATTCCAGGTGACTACCTGGACAAGTCCTTGCAGTCTTTTTGGCAAGATTTCAGAAGTGATTTGCCCTTGCCAGGGGTAAGAAAGAGGGACTGGCCCAAGATTACCCAGCTGGCTTCATGCCTAAGGCGGAATTCAACAGTCTCCCAATTTTTAGCCAGCTGCTTTAACCACTATGCAAAACTGGCCCATCCTGGAAACTCTAGGCATCCCTAAAACAGAAATAGGTAACTTATAGCCCAGTAGATATAATTTAACTTCAACTCCAAGTTATGTGAGCTGGAACTGCTGGGAATTGGTTAGACAGTATCTGGTGGATCAATGCTATCTATCTTTGCACTATATTCATGAATGCAGAAGTTCTTGCTCCAGGAGTGCAAACAGCCTTTGAGCATCCTTCCAAATATGCTAAATTCTAACTGTCATTGTAATAATACTATCTATCCTGCAGTTTGTCTAGAGGGCCAATTAGCAGATCTCCTCCGTGGGCACCATTAGCCTGCAGTACTGTATTCTAATCACTGTTAAGTGTTATGACATAAATCACCACACTCATTCCTGGCCTTTGGAAAGGCACCCAAAATAATAGCTAATTCAGTGATGACTGGGTGGCTGCTTAATATTTTATTTGAAAGTTTAGCTAAAGGTGGAAGCTATGGTTTGGGGAATATTAACATCTGATTTTAAGGTACGTAAGTATCTATTGCAATAGTTTGTATGCAACTATTCAAACTTTAGGCAGCTTACAATCTTAGGAGCATTACAACACTATTATATCATAAAACACATAGTATTTATTTATTAAATTTCGGTATCAACCAACTCACTATCACTTGCTGTCCTTTATTAAATATCTTCCTTTCCAAAAGTCCTATTAAAAATCATTCTGTTTTCGCTATTCTAAGAAATAAGAGAGCAAGAATCAATCCAACCTCAAAGTATAAGCTATTCTATAGTGAAGGGGTTGCCATTGAAAAGTACATCCCTCTGGGCAAATAAATAAAATCACAGTACTGTGTAACAAAGAAGTAAGTTACTGCGTGCATGGGAAGTAACTATATTAAATGTCTTATTTAACAATGTATATAATTTGAATAAAACCAAATATACAAACTCCTTGCTCATCTCTTTATTCTGACTTCATTTATTTCTTGGAGAGCAGCCTCTTGCCATGACACTCCAAGGCCAATTTGATCTTTGCACACTTGCTTCTGTATTTGCACTGGCAAAGAGGTGCATTAAATTGCAGTACTCTACTAGGCTGTATCAAAAGCGAAGGTATGCATTAATTATAAGAGGGGAAAACAGTATCTATATCTGGACTGTATTTTACTGACTAAATAAACTTTATTTCATACTACACAATGCAGTTAATGTCATTTCAGGAAATGTTTCTGGTCACTCTTCCCCTTGCCAAATATATAAATTGTGTATATATGTAGGTACACACACACACAAACACACATGCAATACTATGCAAAAGTCTTAGTCAACTATTAGATTTGCTATTTTAGCAAAGTTTTAAGGGCCACCCATAATTATTTTTCAGTATTTAATGTCACATCTTGAATATCTAGTTTGTTGATTTCTTTTTCAGAGGGACGTTGGCTGATGCAAAAGTATGATTTTATGCCTGTCAAATTCTGTGGTCTTTGGCATTGACTAGAACAATATGATTGAAAGTTGATCTTATTAGCAAGCTTCCAAGAAATCACATTCATACAAGATGTATAATGCTCAAGCATGTCTTGCACAAACCTGGTGTAATAGACTTTTTTGCACTGCAGTCATTTTGGCATGAACTACTGGTAGTAGGACACATAGGTGTTGGCAATGGCTGTTCTTAGGGTTCCATTCCATTTAGGTTTATGGGAGCCAGAGGGCTGCTATTGATCTAGTGTAAGGGGAGGGCATACTAAATAGTTGCCACTTTAGCCTATTGAAGCTGCTTTTTCTACTTTTGCTGTTTACTGCACACATATTTCCTGCATTTTCTGGTTGTATTATAATAAGGAGACTGAGACATAATTATATATAGTCATAATACTATTGCTACAACAACAAAACAATGGTGGCCCAACAATTATTTCCCTCCTTCCCTCCCTCCCTCCCTCTCCCTCCCCCCTCCTCCCTTCCTCCATGTGTGTATTGCCTTGAGGCTAAGCCTCAATTGAATTGTTAATTTTTTTTCTTAACATTTCCCTGTTAAAAGGTGGAGATTTTTTAATGTGTCTGATTATAGCTAAAACTCTTCAAATCAAGTTCAACTCATCAGAGCTTTTTTTCCATTTATATATGTAATTATTTTTCCAATAATACCTAAATTGTAACTTTCTAGGATGTTTTTTTCAATGTTCTAGTCCTGAAACATGTCTGCCATCCATGGTCAGCTCCCACTTAACTTTTTAAAGATCAGCCAGGTTTCATACTTCGCTGCACTCTTTTCTTTCAGTATTTCTCCTCCCCCATTCTGGTCTTTGATAAGTATTTCTACTCTCCTAGATTGCATGTATCATCATCCTTATCTGCTATGCGGCATCCTGGTCATATGCCTACACAGGTTTGGCGATCTTCATGCTGATTTACTGCATCGTCCTGTTTATCATCTTCATGTTATCATTACACCTCCAATTGACTTTCATCCACTGGGGATGGACGGTAGGTTTTGGTTCTGTGGTAAGCCCTGAGGTGGGGTGAGGGATTCTTATATATCTTTCTCTCTCAATATTATTTATTTAACAATATATCTAGCACCCATCCCTTCATCCATACAGATTCTGTGCAACATTATTAAAATAATAACACTCAACCATGATGGTTTCCCAAAGCAAGCTATGGAGCAACCTCTTTAAAAAAGCAAGAAGGAATGGTGCCATTTATCCTGTTGGAGCAAGGTGATCCATAATGTGGGTCTACCCTCAGGAAGGTCCATATCCCATGAACCTTGAGGTCAAAGGACCCTCCATAGTCCTTCCCTGGATATCTCAATTACATGGACAGATTACATTTTGCAAGGCATTATAACTGCTCAGAATATGTGAACGTCAATAAGAATGTCCACCTGTGAAGCAATATCCTGGCATTTGTGTAAAGTGGTCATAGGGAAGCATTTTTGCATTAATTTGCTTGTTATTGTCTTTTTTTTGCATAATTATTATGCTGCTGGGGGACTCTGGGAGTTGAAGTCCACAAGTCTTAAAGTTGCCAAGTCTGGACACCCCTGGTGTGTATGAAGATGAGAATCTCAAGGCAGTTATATTGAAGTTTTTGTACAACATTGTACAAATCCAGTTTAGGATATAAGATTACAATCTTACATCCACCTCTCTGCTCACGGGGCTATGCTACTATTTAAAAATGCATCACCCTAAGAACTTTTAATTAGTTTAAGTAACTGATATATACCATATCATTTTATAAACCAACAACCACTATTAATGTCCAAATAATATTTGAATATCAACAGTAATCATCAGCCCAATATAAATCATAAAATAAAAATTGCATTAATTTCTACCTGAGTAATGAAAGACTTTATGTTAAGAGGAATCCATGTTTCCGATGTAGTGCAAGTCTGTATATCTTTCAAACATGGTTTCCAAGGGGGATCTAATTCTGAGTAGGCACGTATAGTGGTTGGTTTTGTGTTCTGGCTAGATCTGTTCAAAGCCTAACTTAGACTCCACTCAAATTAATTTTTTTCTTGCTTCTCCAAAGACTTTTATCCGGGCTCTTATTGGAGCAGTGGCCTTTATCATCACCGCCATCATTGTCCTTGTTAGCCGCCCAGATGGACCAGGCATAGCTGGGGCGGTAAGTATCATATCTGCTGGTGGGGCAAATTTATGGAGGGAGTGGAGAAAGGAAGCTGGAATGGTGACTTGGCAGGAATTTTGAAAATTCAAGAACATGCATCAAACAAGGCAAGGCTTGCTAATTCTGGGATCGCATTAGCTGTAGTGTGTGTGTGGGGGGGATATCTTTGGGGTATTCCTCCCAAAACTACATTTCCCAGAATTTGCTGCCATTGCCCATGCTGTCTGAGACTGCTGGGAATTGCAGTTCAGCATTTTATGAGCCTCACATATTTTCACTGCTTCTTTAACAAAAATAAGGCAATTAAAAAAGAACAGAATCCAGCAAGATATAGGAATCAGTTCACATCTTGCATTAAGATCAAACAATGAACGCAAAGGTTTATGCCAGTGTTACCAGTGAAACAGGCTATTACAGCTTCTTTTTTATTGTTATTATTATGTCATACCGTGATACAGCACACTGTTTGAATCCTATCATGGCAGAAGGCCATATTTTGGCAAAATTAAAAGAGTAGTTACTTCAAGGGTGGGAGGGGGGAAGGTGGGATGACCTGTGCTCATAGCATTGAAATAAAAGGAGATTACAGGTAGCCCACAACTTACAACCACAACTGAGCCCAAAATTTCCACTGCCAAGTAAGTCAGTGGTTAAGTGAGTTGTTCCCCATTTTATGACCTTTTTGCACAATTGTTAAGCAAATCACTGCAGCAGTTAAATGAATTTGGCTTCCCCCACTGACTTTGCTTGATGGAAGCCAGCTGGGAAGGTTACAAATGGTGATCCCATGAGCCTGAGATGATGCAGCTGTCATACATACATGCCAGTTGCCAAATGCCCAAATTTTGATCATGTGACCATGGAAATGTGGCAATTGTGGCAAGGGTAAAAACAGTCAGAAATTACTTAAGTGCCATTGTACCTTTGAGCTGTCACTTAACGAAGGGTTGTAAGTTGAGGACTACTTGCATCTGACAAAATGTAGCTGCTACAATAATACCTTCTACCCACAGGTTGTTTCTGGCTCAAGATTTTATCATGCATTGCACGGTTTCACAATTTTATAGGAATAGAATGAAATAGGAATAGGAATAGGAACAGAACAGACCTGGAAGAGACCTTGGAGGTCTTCTAGTCCAACCCCCCTGCTCAAGCAGGAAAGCCTAAACCATTCCAGATTAATTTGCTGCCCAATCTCTTCTTAAAAGCTTCCAGTGTTGGAACATTCATAACTTCTGGAGGCAAGTTGTTCCACTGATTAATTTATTATGTCAGGAAATTTAGGTTGCTTCTCCCCTTGATCAGTTTCCGCCCATTGCTTCTTGCCCTGTCCTCAGGGGCTTTGGAGAACAGCTTGCCTCCCTCTTTTTGTGGCAGCCCCTGAGATATTGGAAAGGCTGTTTTCATGTCAGGTCCAGATAACTTCATCTGTTGCATATATAATTCTCAATTGTTTTCTTATTGCTTCATGAACTCCCGATGTATTTAATTGGTAGCACTATGAGTTGCGCATCGAGAAAAACTTTCAGCCTATTATCGAGGGAATATTATTGGGGGTGGGGGGGTGGGGGGAGTCCTGAGTCCTCAAACTAAACTTGCATTGCTTTTCAATAGGTGGTTTCAATTCTGACTGGAATCCTCTTTGGCTACGATGCATACACCATCTTGCCTAGTATCAGGAATACTCATAGAGCAGCTAACACCGGTAGGTCTTCTGGGATGAAGGCAGTTGGGAAGGTGAACCTTTCTAGGTGGCTTCTAGATGTCTTTTCTTTCTTGCATGAATCAGATACTCAAAACAGTACTGGTATACCGATTTCCACTGTAGATTTCTGTATCCAGAACTAGGCGTACTACCACTTGTTGCTAAACCCAGTAGGGAAAATGGGATCCTCCCAAAGGATTTTCCCCGCCCTGGAATTGCCATACTTTTTCTTAAACTTAGAGAAAGCTGTAGAATATCTGCATGATTTATGATTACCCTGTTGCGTTCCAGTGCCCTTTGAGCAATGTGGATTGAGGGCTTCTGCTTCAACTCCAATGGTTTTAAGAATAGTAATGTACAGGTAGTCCTTGACTTACAACCATTCATTTAATGATCACTCAAATTTACAGTGACTGTTGCAGCATCCCCATTGTTCCGTGATCAAAAGTTGGGTGTTTGGCAGCAGGCATGTAATTGTAGTGGTTGCAGCCTCCTGGGTTCACAGGATTGCCGTTTGCAACCTTCCCAACTATTTTCCAAGCAGTCCATGGGAAAATTGGATTCACTTAATGACCATATCATTTACTTAACAACATTAGTGAGTCACTTAACAAGCATGGCAAAAAGGTCATAAAATTGAACACAACTCACTTAACAATTTGCCTTGCTTAGCAATGGAAATTCTCATCACAGTTGAGGTCACAAATCAAGGACTACCTGTAATTTCTGCAAATGTAGATATCTAGTGTTATTCTTCTTTTAAAGAATTATACAACGGGAACAACGGAATTCAGCATGCGTTCAGTATACAACCTTAGGATAGCCATCATGTCTATTTGCTAATTATTTATGCCACTCCCGTCACTGCAAATGTTAATAATAACTTCATTATTTAAGTTAAAAAAACAGGTAATGTAATGAAGAAAAAGTAAATCAAAAGGTAAATCATAACCATATAATTACTGATGTTCATTCTCATCCCAACATGTGCGGTGCCACCTCCTTAGTGGGTTAACATCTCATATAATCCTTGTTGGCCCTCCAGAAGACTCAAGTCTTTAGTGCCAGGACGCTAATAGGAATAGGGCTGGTCTTCTTTCTGGAAGTAGGCTCTTCCCAGACGGATGGGGCTATCACCAAGGATTCCCCCTTGGGATCCGAAATCATAACACTTCCTCAAATCAGGATCCATTCAAGCCTTGCCTGCTGGATCTTATCCTATACTCCCATGCAGTTGGTAGTCTTGAACGTAGGTTGAATATAAGAATATGTCTTAAGCGGTGAAGGACTTTGAATGTAGACAATCATCCCCTTAAATTATACTTGGAACCTGACTGGTATGTTCCCATAGAAGTAGAAAGTATGACCTGGGTGAACAAGGTTTTTATTCGCAGGCTGCTGCATACTGGACCAATTGCAATTCCAAGTGGTCTTCAAGAGTAGCCTCATGTAGACCAAACTGTAATAATCCAAATGGGAACTGATGGGTATGACTGTCAGCAAAATGTCTTGCTGCCAAAATTGCCTGCAATTGATGTGTAAGATGCACAAAGGCTCTCCTAGACATGACTTCCATCCCCTCTTTGAGCATGACCCATGAGTCCAAGGAGACCCTCAAGTTGCAAACTGGTTCTACATGGGGTAGCGTAGCCCTATTCAGTGCTAAAAATGGACACCTGCTGAAACCCCCTGCTTCTGAATCAACAGCCATTCTATTTTGCTAGGGTTAAGTCTGAGTCTGTTTCTCCCCTCGTGGAAGCAGAACTCCAAATATATCTCCTGTTTAGCCCAGGAAGAAGGAGGTACACAAGTGGCTATCATTAACGTATCGATGATGCTTCCACTCAATGAAGTGGGCGGTCTCCGCCAGCAATTTTATGTAGTAAATACTATGGGAGAGAGGATTAAGCACTGCAGTGCTCTACAAAACAAAGCCCACACTCTGCACCATCAAATGGAATCACCCATTCAGGAAAGAAGAAAACAGGATATAGTTAATCCAGAAAGATATCATAAGTGAGGATATCGAAGGCAGCTGGGAGATCCAGCAGGGCCAAGAAAATTACTTTCTCACTATGGCAGTCCTTCCACAGATCACCAGCCACTCCCAATGCCAGTGCTCTCCAGCCAAAATCCCAAATGAGAAGAATCCAGGGAAGCCATTTCATTTTAAATTACCGGCATTAAATTTTTATTTTTAATAGATCTTTTAATGCTAGTGCATTTTAATGCAAGGTATTGTTAATATAGATTCACTTAAAAATATTCCCTGATACTCAAATGCAATTCAATTTATAGCTTAACAGCTGAAGAATATGAATGTTATATTTTTTTTAATTATAATTGCTTGATTTTTTTTGTTTTTTGTTTTATTTTCTGTATTTTAAGTCACCTAGACTCTAGAACCAAGCTTATCTGTGGTAGGAAAGAAATATAGTAATGCATCCTGAGATTTTTAGTGTCAGCCTGCCTGACAGCGTTTCTATTTTTATTTATTTATTTATTTTATTTTATTTGTCAATCGCTTACAAGATAATAGATATAAGTATAAACATGAATAAAAATACAGGAAATAGGTACGAATAAATGGGGACAATAGGACAGGGACAGTAGGCACGATGGTGCACTTATGCACGCCCCTTACAGACCTCTTAGGAATGCAGTGAGGTCAATAGTGGTTAGTTTGAGGTGGGGGTTAGAGGATGTAACAACAGAGTCAGGTAGTGCATTCCAGGCATTGACCACTCTGTGCTGAAGTTGTACTTTCTGCAATCAAGTTTGCCTTCCTTGATTTTTTAATGAGACAATATAATTTTATTGCCATTATTTTTTTTAATTTGTAGAACTAAAAAACAAAAACAAAACACATGGATGCATATAAAACAGAACTTTTAAAAACTCAGATAAAACAAACTAATAAAAATGAAGACTAAAAGTTAAATCAAAATGAAATCAAATACAGCAATCAGGTACAATACTAAGTACATCAATGGAAAAATTACTACTGCTCAGTTCTTAAACAATGAACAAACCCCGAACTGCATAGAATCCCGTTATCCGGTCTTCCGGTCAAAGAGAGAGCCCATTCAAAGGCTGAGATGAGTCATTTCATCAATCCAGCCCTTGCCATCTGTATTCAAGTGTCTTTTCAGGGACGTATAATAATCTTCGTGGCCCCATCTCTGGGCCTTACGGTAGCACATATTGTTTATATTGTATGTATTTCTAAAATGTATATCTTGTACTTTCAGTGCTTTCCTGACAATTGCAAAGCAGGGAGCAATGTTACAGCTTCTTATTTATTCCTAGGGATGGGATGGTGATGAATAGCAATAAATAGCTTCTAGTTGGAATTAGAATAGTTGGACAGCAATTCTCATCCTTTCTAGCAAGTACAAGCAAGTTACAAGAATAACTTTGTTTAATATCTGTCTGTCCTTTGTCTGCTTCTTACAGAGCCTCCAGAAGGGATTTGAAGACACTATCCCTCTTTCACCTCAAGACAAAACACCACACTGGACCCATCTCCTATTGCCTTCTATGGGATCTGTCCCCGAGAGACCACCTCCCCGCATCAATTTGGCAGCACCACAGCCTCTTTTTCTTCGGGTGCCCAGTAGGACTTATTGTCGTCCGAATTGGCAGGTCCTTTCCTCTTGTCTCCACTTTATGAAACTGTTCCAGCAATGGAAAAGAAAGCCGATTCTGGAATCCCCCAGAGAAATTGCAGAGCCCCAGTAAGATGGATTTCATAGGTTTGTGACTATTAACTGCATCAGATTGAGAGTAATTCCATTTACACTCTGGTTGAGATGCAAAGAAAATAAGCCTTTACGTTTGTTTAGTCCTATTAGTAGAAAATGACACCAAAGTGCAAAGGGTCCCAACTGACCTTCTCTTGGGGGCCTCTGTTTGCCCTGCAGACTCCAGGTGCTTTTTGCATCCAGAGTTTCTAGATAAGAAGCCATTGCTTTGAAGTCTAGCAAATAGGATTTTTTTCAAACATTTGTAACTTTTGAAGTGTTTGAGTTCCACCCAGTAGTGGGATTCAAATTTCTTTACTACCGGTTCTGTGGGCGTGGCTTGGTGGGCGCGGCAAGGGAAGGATACTGTAAAATCTCCAGTCAGAGGTGGGATTTGCCGCTTTTCCGAGCTACTCAAAATTTCCACTACCGGTTCTCCAGAACTGGTCAGAACCTGCTGAATACCACCTCTGGTTCCACCCCATGAAAAAATGTTTGAAATTTCACTAAGCCATCTTAAATACCCATTTTTGATAAATGATTATTTTTAAATGAAGCAAGCACTTAAAAGGCATCCTACATTGGATAACTTTTTCTACACCATTTATTTTCTCCCCTAATCTTATCTCTCTTAGGGAGAACCTCAATCTTTCAAACAGGCACTAGGTAACGGAGTAGGGTTATGTGTATGTTCAGTCATTGTGAGCAAATAAAAAAAGTGAGTTTGGGTAGTCAATGAGCTACTGAAACCTTCCAGACTAAGAAAACGTTTCTGAATTAGACTTCCAGGATTCAGAGGTAAGACTCTAGTGCCAAGCAGAGTTCTGCCCTATTTTGTAGATTTTTCTTTAAATACAAATAGTAAACATAGCAAATTTTTATATAAAATATGCAAATTCATATACTTGATGATGATGTTATCCATTCAGTCATGTCCAAATCATGGCAATTCTGTGGGCCAGGTCTCCCCACATCTTCTGTTCTTGCACTATTTCTCTGAATTTTTTTCTATGCTGTGGCTGGTGTCAGCTTTGATTGATGTCCAGCCACCGTGTTCTTCGGGCGGCCTGGTTTCCTTTCACCACTTAACTTGCCCAAGCATAATTGCTTTCTCCAGTGAATTATCCCCCACACAACATGGGCAAAATAAGTGACAGAGAGTTTTGTGATTTTGCCTTCCAGTGACATGTCTGGGTTATGCACTCATATACGTACTTGTTAACAGGCCTTTTTTTTCCCCAAAGAAGAGAATTGGCTTACCTTGGTGCTGATTTTTGGGTATTTTTTAATAATTATTTTGGTGTCATGCAGAATACAGCCTTGGCTAGGACCTCAGTGGTCTATTTGGAGACACATAAGCAGCTTGATTTTCTTCTGGGGAATGTATATCATTGCCTTAAGCTTAACACACTTTGTCTGCATTGGCGGGAAAGATAGAAGAGAAAGGAGAATGTCTACTGCATCTCTCATCCAATTCTCTGCTGTTGGACCTAGGGCAGCTTGGCTTTATTTTGTACTTGCTGGAGAAATAAAATAGTTTAAAATGCAAATAAAGTATATCTGATTTGGTATGAAGTCTGTTTACTTGATGTCCACTACCATATTTTTTTCGTGCAATCTTGGCTGTAGATAATTGTTGGTATAACTAAAGGGATCTGTGAAACTTCTCCACCTAGGAAAAGGAGTCTGGCTTAATGCTTGTCCGTATAAGGTCTAAATTATGGCACGTTTCTCTGACTTTTTCTTGCCTTACATTTAAATAGAAGTGATTTGGCTGTCAATGTACACAAAGCAAGTGCTGCATCCACAAAATCACCAAGAATTTGATCAGATAAAGCCCTTCAGTCAGCAACTAAATAATACAAACATACCATCAGAAGGAAGCTACTTTACATCTTTAGAGTAGTTGCTGTTATCTCCATGTTTTGGGAATTCTACCAAATAAGTGGCATCTCAAAAATCACAATGTTTGTTTATTTAAAATGAAGTTTTTACTAATTACATCGACCCTGATTAATTCAAATCTGTGCAGATTCTGCTACCCAATCTTCCCAAAACCAGGTTCTGTTTTTCACCAAAGGTGGATTTGGCAGACTTGGTAGAAGAGTCAAATCCAAAATGTTTTATTTCTGAATAGAAAACTATAGGTTTTTTTTTTAGGGAGAGGATAACTCATAGCATATATTTCTATTTTAGTGATGGATGAGATCTTAGTAACCAGAGTTGTTTGTTTTTGCCTAAATTACAATGAAATAATATATCCTACTCCCAATTTGTCTAAGATGGGACATGAAAATGAACATAATACTAAGTTGTGTTTCTGCGTGTGCAACCTTTAGTCCGCAAATTCCCTTTTTGGCCGACCTCCCCAAGCCCAATCTGATCATGACAGATGAAAATGGATTTATTTTTCTGCTGTGTTGACACCTGAATCAAATTAAACCTACAGTGTATGCCCTAAATTAGGTGTACTGAGTTAAAAAAAAAATCCATTAAAAAAATATTTCCAATGCAGTCTTGGTTGCCAAAATGTCGCCAATCCCTACTATATAAGCCAGGGATAATCAACCAGGTACGCTACTGATTTCCAAACGATAGGTTCCATAATCTTATCTATTCATCTGGTTTATATACATATACATCCAAAATATTTTGTCCATTTCCACTAGAGGGTGCTGTAATAAGAAAATCACCCCCCTTTGCACACCGCACTGTGACACCTTATATTATCTTTTCTAATTTCCTTATGAATATCCAGCACACTGTAATGATCCACTGCAATACAAAAAAGCGTTTTTTTCATGAAGTTTATTTCAATTTCATTTAAATTAAAAATCTTAATTAGAAAAAAAAATGATTTTTTTTTTTTTAAAAAACTGCAAACTTTAGAAATGCACACAGTGCAGAGAGACTAGTCTTGGGGGGGGCAAGGGGGGGGAATCACAGATCCAGTTTGATTAGGAAGATACATTGAGGGGTTTACCCCATAGAAGACATCTTCTGCCCATGTTCCACTTCTAGCGCGGAAAGCTGGGGAACAGTCTAGCCCAGGGGTGTCCAACCTTGGCAACTTTAAGACTTGTGGACTTCAACTCCCAGAGTTCCTCAGCCAGC